GATTTTACTTGTAATTTCGTGGTGCTAAAATTGATCAAATAAGTTTTTATTTTAAACATGAAAGCGGCGAGCTTTGGAAGTTGAGTTAGTTAAGACCTCTTTGACATCTATACATATACATCGTTTCAAAATTCTAGGACAGTGCCGCATGTATACTTTATATTTCCTCAGGGAACTTTTAGTTCCGTTTCCCGGTAAGGTTAAAGTTTTGAATTACGTGTTTCACATTCTCCTTTCTGTTCTTGTTTTATGCTACGTTCTACTTTACCTTGTGTATTTCATTTATCGTATTTCATTAACGTTGATTGTCTCCCGCAAAAAATTGACCAGTCCGATTCGCAATGCTTTGAAGATACTGTATATCATATCTCTATAATTACGGTTCTTCTAAGTTCCATGAAAATCGTTCATCAAGAGAAGCACGAAAAAAAAAAGAAGCGAGCATTGCATTAAGCCGTCAGAGAAAGCGTGCGATACGCTAAAACGCCAATTCGAATGCTGCGTCGTTAAAATTACATGCCACGAGCCCCATTATATAGCCGTTCCGTGCTTAAAAGTATGATCGGATCTCCACGAATGCGCTGCAAACGTAGATCCGTATCGCTCGTTCATGAATATAAACAATACTTTTTACTTGGCTCTTACTTTTATTTATGTTCAACTTAATTACGCGATCAGCTGCTTATATTCAAGGAAGCAACATTCCTTTAACTTCGTGTTGCGGCTCAATCGATATCGGGCGGCCTGTATAGGAACAGCTATTACGACCGACGAGGAAAGAGAAATGGCTTTTAGGTAATTTCGAATATTCGTAAATGCGCCACGCCTCGTGGATAATACTCTTCGATAGTGCTGAGTGAATTGGCAAAAGATTACTGTTACCTAATGTCTTGATTGTGTGTTAAGTATAGAGGAACGTAGAAATTTCATCTTCTCTTTCGTGTTCTCAACTTTAAAGGTCGTCCAGAATTTCCCAAACGCTCTTTCATATCGAAACTTCAGATCTGAAGGATTGCGGTAAGAGCTGGATTTTCCGAACGTTTGGTATTCAATGCTTGTTCCACTCTCGCGGAAACAAATAATCGGTCTCCCGTAATCCGTTCTCGCTACGATAAAGTTAATGAAAACTTGAAAGAAAACGCCCCGCAATTCTTCGATTTGATGAGACTCCGATTGAAAGTTCGCGCGATTCGAATGACGCGAACCGTAATGTGCCTTTTTCCGCTTCTTTTTACGTTTGATAGCGTAAGGATTCTTGGACTATCGTTCAGAGGCCCCTAGAGAGTCTATATGGATGAGCTGCAGTCAGTCCAAGTGAAGCAAACTAAAATAGAGTAAAATAACTGTATGTGTCTAGGACATAAATTCCTTTTTCTGCTTCTCTCTCAAGGCACATTAAAAAAATTATTTAGTAAATTTAAGACAATAAAAATAATTCTAATCGTAATATAAAACGAACATATTTATATTAAATAGTAGATATTAATTAGAATATAAATATTATATATTATGTTATATAGATATTTGGTGTTTCTGGGACACATTCGTCGCAATCATTTTAACGCACGTTATATGTATCATTAGATAGTTTGCAAAGATTAAATGACCAAAAAAAATCCGTAGAGAAACGCGTGGTGAAACGGGAGTCCAAGTAAATCAGGAAAGAAGCTGAGAAGCTCAACCTAATTATATCTAATTGTAAGATAGCAATCGAGCTATCTAGTATCCTACAATCGCATGTGCAAACGATCCCTAGGCCAACTGCCATGATCACTTTCTTCTTCGCGGTTTCACGCGACGCGCTCGATTCGAAACACAAAACAGAAAATTCTGTCGTGTGTGCATCACGCTGCTCTCGTTTCTCTTAATTGCGATAGAAAGTGAATCCCGCATTGATGATAAGTGGTCCACAATAAAACCTCGTACTATTTCGCGGTATTGGTTTCTGTCACTTTATATGAGCTCCGGCCGCATCGTTTATTTTCGTTTATACATCGATTTTATGATGCATAGAGCAACAAAATTTTAACTGCAATTTTACATAAACACAGATGAACAGAATTATAAATTTAAATTTCAGCGGGGGAAATTAAAAAAAGAAAAAGACTCCACTTTCGTATAAAAAATAAAATTTGTCGTTTACAATTTAACGTAATTTAACAATTTTGAAAATGAAGCGTGTTTGCGCGGAAAGTACAGTGGTAACCCACGTCGTATTGCCTGTTAATTCTCTAGTTGCTTACGTCTTTCCGTAATAATGTTTCCTACCTAGTGCTAATTGAAGATAACTTCAGTGGATCACGAAAGACCCGCATTAACCACGATGAGAAACAGTGGTCGGAAGACTATCAAACTTCTGTACATTCGTTGCATTGCCGCTCTTCAACATGTACGTTTTAATTGCCTCAATAAGTAAATTACTTCCAGTCATTGATTGAATTTGCTATAATACAATGTATTACAAAATGTGTAACGATAAAATACAAAATTCTATATTATTCTTTGCGTACCGTGATCTGGAAAATCCGATTGTTCTTATTTGAAATTGTTGAAACGTATTGATGCGGTTAAAATAATATTGCAGGAATAATATGTAATATTATATATCAATTTTATATATCAATTTATAATATGTAATATTATAATATCAATTTTCATATTTTTGTTTTTTTTTTAAATTTTTTTCTGCGCCCGTTAATTTGAGAGCTCGTGCGCTTATTTCTTCATTAATTATGTAGTTTTATCGTTATACTCTCGCAATTCTTAGTTTTATAGTTTCATTTATGTCGACACCGTGTATTGTATAACTTGTTCTCAGTCACTTATAATTGTTATTGCACTAAATTCACTGTTCTTCTCGTAATTCACTGCGTCTTTTCTACTCGTTTTTTTTTATCGTCCTTTATTATATGTATATTATTTTGCATTTGTCTCTCTTCGTATTCTTCGTTTTCGCGTGGGCATTACAGCAGGAATATTGACGCTCTACCTTTTGTACCTTTCAACTACAAATCTTAATCATTTCTATACAACTACTGGGCTAACAGTAAATTAAATTCAATTATTACGAAACATATAAAAATATACGAATACAAAATGTGCGTAATCTAATAAATATCACAATTCTTGTGCAATACAGCAGACAATACGACTATTAAAAATGAATATATATAAGGAAAAAGTAATAAGTAAGAAGAAAAGACTTCCGTGTTTTACAGTGAATGGAAGTCCTTAACATTTAAATATTCTCTCATGAATATTCACGTACTAATTTACGGTATGTGTGTTAATAGTGCTGACAGTATACTAAAAAAGAACTTTTTAAATAAAGTAACTCTAACAAAAGCAGGGAGTAAAATAGCGATACAAAGAAATCGACCTTAAATATATCTTTATTTCTGTATTTAAATTAGATAATTTATTTAGAAGATTCTACAGAGTATTTCACTCTCAAATTAATCCCAGATACGAACGTTGGAGTTTGAAATCACATTAATTCGCCGATTGACGCAAGTAACTCGTAACTCGTAAGAAAAACTTCTTTCGATTTTACGTCAGATGTAGAGCGCCGTTCTGCCTGGGTATAGGTAAACGTCCTTGACATAATGTCGCAAATTTAAGCCTCCGGGAAATGGCAAACCAAACTCCATACGCGCGAGAAACATATACTTCCGCGGAAGAGAACCTTGTGGATAACGAAGGATAACGAAGGAGATATCTTCAAAGGATACTTTGGGAGCATCTATGCGCGAACTTCCGACACGAAGCACTCCAGATAAAGTACTCGGGATATCTCGCCACTTGGAATTCCGCACTCTATCACTTTCGAAGATTATTTACCACTTTGTGAATCGAAAAGATTCACCCTGACGCATTAAAGTGAATCGTTGAAGAATGTTCCAACTTAAAATGGCAGAGATAAAATTATGGAAAGAACGTTATCTTTCTGCGAGCACACCGTAATATTTAAACACAATTTTATGTTTTCTGCATTTAGATATGATATGTATTGTCGAAATTTAAACGCAACGACAGAGACGATACTCTTAATATATTGAAATCTGTACAAATATGAAGGATTAAATATCACATAAAAGTATTGTGATTTAATACTCTTAAAAAAATATCAACAAAATCTGTAAAATTTTACGAAATTCAAGATTAATATTTTCATAGAATATATTAAATTGAATTAAATTTTGTAAAATTTATATCTATTTAATCTATAATCCCGCATGTTACTTAATAAATAATTCAGTGCTTGTATCGCATAATGAAGTCTTTGCCAAGTTAAACACATAGTCATTGACACTTAATCTTTTTAATGCGTATTTAATATATTTAATCCTTCAAATTCGTTATCTTCAATAATGGTACTGATGTGTCATTTCATGCTTAGAATCATATATCAATGTTAATAATTAATAATTATTTTAATAATTTCATAACATATATGCGACACTTCAATCAGCATAATTCATGATAATTTTATGATAAAATATATAATTTAATTTTATATGTATTGTAATATAATTTTATTACAATTATAAAATAGTTATTTTTTAAATTGATGCTAATGACTGAGTAATAATCAAAATTAATGATACAATGAGCCGTTAAATTATATTAAATTATTTAAAAGATATATTATTTAAAATATATAAGATAATAATAAATTGAAAGCGTTGAAATATAAAATACATTCTTTATGAATCGAGTGAGAAGCTTATTATACATAGATTTTTATTATAGTTCCTCATACAGTAAACTTCCAAAATCTGCTACATAAGCTTTATAATTCGCGGTTTATTTCCGAAGTCTGTAATCTTATCCGCGTGACTACTGTTCCACGATCATATTCCCGAGGACCAGTGACGTTATTGTCTGAAGATATATCCTACTCCCACTACGCGGATAGGTATACCGGCGGGAACAGGTGGCACGGTGGCGATCGGTCCGCAGGTACAATAACACTTCTCCGCCAGTCGGTGCGCAAACGAGAAAGTGAAGACCCGGCACCCGGCGCGGGCGTCCAGGCCGCGCGATAAGTATCTCGCGCGAGATTAACAATCGCCCGCTCTCGATCCGGTCCAGCGAGTGCTGAAACTTGGCATCCGGTATATGCGGTTCCGCGCAATCGCGAATGCGCCGAAACTTTCTTCCCGTTTCGAGCTTTTCCTTCATCGATAAACGGAGGGCTGCTGACCTTAATCGAACTTGTTCGACATCTCATCGATCATTTCAAGGACCGAATCTTTAATCGATCCTACGTGCGAGAAACAAGAATCGTTATCGACAGCATCAACTCTCGTGTTTCGCCGAAGTTCTCGCTGTGTCAGCTGCTTAAGGATCATTTGGAAATTCGTGAGTTATCTGGATTAATTTATCTAATGCTACATATCGCGTGCGTCAATGGTATCAAGTGTCTTTTACGGCATGTGTGTCAAGCAGGGGTTCTTGTGTAACTGCAGGATGCTCGTCAATAGAGAACACAAATCGATAACTCAGTAATCTGATATTTTGAGTTTAAATAGTCAATTTTTAACAAAAGAATGCGATAATTTTGTTTAAAATTAAATTACATCGTATATTTTAGACGAATTCACACCTGAAAGAGAGAATTCTACACTACACTTTACGACGCTGATTACTTTACCTAATCTTGACCCCAATATTTATGAATTAGACTAGGGTATAATTAGTCATGGTGGTGGACCTTGTTCATAGTATGTAGGTTACGAATGAAATTGCGTAATCATTGTTTTCGCCAGCAACGTGTCCAGAAACACGAGTCACCGCGGCAAGGATCAAGGTTGTAATGTTTTTCATTTAGATACGGATAAAAAAGGATCTATACGGTGACTCATTCAAGCTGTCCCGGCCATAAACACACCGGCAATTCGGATTTATTTCTTCTATCTCCGGTATAATCCGTTGTACGATTTTTCTTCGTTAAGTTCGCAATTTCGAGTCGACGACGCTGAATAACTCGGAAGCAAGGGAGGTATTGCTTTAACGCGAACTTTTCCAGTTGACACGCGATAACGGAAAAGAAGGACAAAGTGAAGATATTATGTTAAGAACAATAATTTTTCTTTCATAAAGTTCACACTACATGACACTACTATATAAGTTTCAAAAATTATTATATTTCGAGAAGAATTTTATATAAAATTTCTTCTCGAAATAAAATTTTACATAAAATTCTTTTCAAACATATGTTACACTTTATTCTAATTTCAATAAAAGTTGCACGAAGGCAGAAGCAATTGCTATACATCTTAATTTGTGGTACAAACTGTTCCACTTAATTTTTCTATACACGGGCTAATGTAAAGCCTCTTAAAACGCGAGATTATGCATCTTTATTGCGCAGTTTCATTTTCATAAATGCCACGATATAAGGCGGTGCGCCCCGAGCCGTGAAGTCTTACGGAGACAACCGGCTTCGTCGTCGGTCGGATGTTAGCCATCGACTGTTCACGCTGCGGAACTTCTTCCGGCCCGGTCACGTAGGATATTCCCGTCGCGTTTCACTACGTGCAAAAGGCCCTTGTCTTTCCTTTGCGCAGGCACTACCTGAATGCAGGTGCAACGACAGAGGTCTATTATTGGCCGGAAATCACGATTGATTTTAGTTTTATCGCGTCGTGCGCAGCATAGAATAAACGCTCGATGTGCAGAAATGTGTGTTGTAATGCTTATGCGCGCATAATAAAAATTTTTTTTTCTCCCAGCTCACTATTATATATATGTATATATCTCGTACTCTGAAACTCTGATAAAGCGCGAGCATAGCCCGCAGTACTGGTTCACCGCTGATATTCATTTTTGATATCCTACATCAAAGCAAAAGATCGTTTCAACAAAGTGGAAAGCTCGCGGTATTTGCTCTCTCTCTCTCTCCCTTGATATTTTACATCAAAAATAGGTTTATTTCACAAGAAAATGTTATTTCTCTTCCGCCCCGATAGCGTTCCGTATTCTATAATTTTACAAGTTTTGATAGAGGCGATATAGCTACGATTACCGTTTTTCTAGATTGACGACGCATTCATATTTTCCGCGCATAATCGAGACATTCTAATAACTCATGCATATTCAAACATTAACCGATCGCGCGCAGTTCGAACGTTCTCGTTTCCGTGCGCAATGCTCGTGCAAAAAGAAAGATCAGATCGACACGGTTAAATATTAATTGTTCGCCGTGTCAAATCGGGGCAATTGAAGTCATTTTCCAATCTTCGCGAAGCGCATGCAGCGCAGTTTTCGATTTACAAGCGTCGTCGAGCTTACGAGCAATTAGAGTAACAAGATAAGCTGATTGGTCACAATTCGAGCGTGTTCTATCACGCTATCGATAACCGATCGTCTTTATTTCGCTTCGTAAAGTCACGAAAGGAAATAAAGCTGTTGGAGTAAACGATTACATTACAGCGTAGGAGAATTTCACCCATAAATAAAAAGCGTTATAATACACGCGAGAAATTTTAGATTATATCTTATAATTAACGCGATAATAAAAAAAATTCATGCTATTGTTAACAGACTTCCTCTGTTCTATCAAATCGATCAACTCCACGAAACGTTTCTACGAAACTATATTAACAGAAAAAGGATTAACGGAACTTTAACGCGACGACGTGTGTAAAACGGTACGACTTATATAAAGGGAAAAATACCAGAAGAAAAAAGTGGTCTCCTAAGGCCGATCTTTCTGCATATGTATTGTGCATCGAAAGCGGTGCGCCAAGAGTTACCCGAGATAACTCGTGATAATCTTACGTAAGTAACCGCCGTGCTCAGACGAACACAATGAGACGACGATACGCCGTTTGCATTCGGACTTCAAGGATTCACGTTCGTTAAGACGGGCAGTCGGCCGAAAGGACACGTCTGTTTTCAGTACGGATGTTCAAGTGGAAAAAAAAACCGTGATATATACATACGTGGACACGCTGCGACATATCGCGATGCTCATAAGAGATACTTTCGGAATCTAAAAGAGATATATGCAACGGCAGATTCGTATCACATTTTTATTCCGCACTTTATGTCATAATGCAAGATTTTCCGAAAGAGATTTTCACACGTGCTTTTCTATGTTTCTGCATTTTTTACCCCGGGCGTGTTTCCTCTAACAACAATTAAATACCTCGTCAGTCGTATATGCAGAACGGCAAAATAGAGAGATAATTACATAACTCGATTCCAGCATTACTACAAGCGAGGTAATGAAATGACGCGTGAATTTTTACTCGCTATCGATGAAAAAGATTGATTACACAAGCAATATTTTTTTTAGAGCATACTCGAACGTGCCAATTATCGTTAAATAAGCAAATTAGCCGTAGCAATCCTCGTTTTCGTGTATCAAATATACTTTGTATAATATTGTTTCTTTTTTTAATAAGGGGAAATATTTAAAAAATCATGATACTGAAATTTTTGCATTCTTTTTTGAACTTTCAATCTCGATCGAATAATATTAGTACTCAACACTTTGGCTGCCATCTGTATCCAATTAATATGCATATGCATCTATATAAATTCAAAGCTGCCATATTAATTTTAGTACTAAAATTAATATAATTAAAATAATTCCAGCTCTGAATATAAATTCTTATCGTTCTTTTCTAAAAATATTAACGCAAAAACTAAACTTTGTATGTGCATGAAAAAGTAGGTTACAAGTTGGTGAACTGAAATATTTCGAATTCTTTCAATATTTAACCCTTTGACTGCCGCATGGATTTTATTGATTTCCTGGCGCTACACTATTATATTCTATATAATGTAACTTTAAGTATAAATTTTTTATATTAAAATACATTTTCCAATTAAATGCATGTTTTTTAATAAAAATTTTCGGCAAAGTTAATAAATCTCTTCAGAATTTACAATATATACCATATAAAATCAATGCATAGTGTATTTTAACTGCTATATTAATATTAAAGAATACGTATTATTTATTTATAATAAATTTTTTATATTAAAATACATTTTCCAATTAAATGTTTTTTTAACTGCTATATTAATATTAAATAATACGTATTCTTTAATATTAATATAGCAGTTAAAATACACTATGCATTGAATTTATATGGTATATATTGTAAATTCTAAAGATTTATTAACTTTGCCGAAAATTTTTATTAAAAAACATACATTTAATTGGAAAATGTATTTTAATATAAAAAATTTATAATTAAAATTACATTATACAGAATACAATAGTGTAGCGCCAGAAGATCAATAAAATCCGTGCGGCAGTCAAAGGGTTAAGTATTGAAAGAATTCAGTTAAAAATATTTCAGTTCACCAACTTGTAACCTACTTTTTCATGCACATACAAAGTTTAGTTTTTGCATTATTATTTTTAGAAAAGAACGATAAGAATTTATCTTCGGAACTGGAATTAAAAGCGCGGTGTGGTATATATAGCTAGAAAATAAGAAATATAATGCAAATACAGTAAACATAAGCGTAGCTTCCGTTTTACTTTCGCTATGTAAATCAGATTCACCGACGAAAAAATTCGCGGATTTACTAGAGGAACTGTATAAGTAAATGGGAGCAAGGCGAGAACGATTTAATTCCGCAATTAAAGCAATAAAATAAAAAAATTCGAGCAATAAAAGCATTAGTTACTGGAAGGACGTAAATTTTTAGATTTCGTTTTATAAAGTAACACTAATCCTTAACATAGAGATATATACAATTCAACTGCTTGAATGTTTTGTATCTGAAAAAGTAAATAGTCTTTTCATCTTTTAAGGTTTCTGAAGTAAACTTAAAAATTATAAAATAAATATCAGAGAAAAGTACGTGTCCAACGAAGCCAAAAATTGATTTTGCAATTGTAACTCGAATTTGCATTGATTAGATGCAGATTAGATATTAATTTGTCGATCTCATTATAATACTCTATGAAAATTCATATACGATCTTGAGCATTCGGTATAAATAACTTATTTGTGTTAAATAAAAATGTGAAATAGGAGATATGCTTGATGCAGTTGTTATCGTATATAGTATAAGAGGTGTTTAATTTGCATTCATTATGAATACATCCACATTCATAGTCGGATACAATAAATCATGGCAAATGTCACGCGAAGGAAACGATAACGAGAGATACGATTTGTCATGCTGTGCGATAAAAAAGCAATAATCTTTCAAAAATATGAGATAAAAATAAGTGCTAGATCTCACCTTAAAAGGTCGTTTAAATAATGAGTCATACGTGACGCTCGTCTTTTAGCAAGGAAATTCGTCGTTCATAGAGGAAAACGAAAGACGTTCTCGTAAATGTAAAAGACTCGCCATTGTGCCATTATACCTTTTTTCCCTCGTTTTAACGCGCAGAAATTTTTCCGGGTTTGTCCAACTCGCTGATTTGCACGCAGATAAATTTTCCACGGTACGATGTGACGATTCACCTCGCGACTCACACGAGAAGAGAATATGCATTGATATGGTTATACGTTAATGAGTATCACGGTTCACCTTAGCCACTTACGGCAATTAACGGGATATTAAAGCTATAACGCCACTTTATGTCCCCCCCTGTTGTGCCAGCACAAGGCGATGCTCGAAGGTTTATTAAGCTGTTAAATATACAATGATTGCATTACTGCTTCGTAAGGATTACTCATTCATTTATCGTTCAAAGAATGTCGTAAGGATCAGCGTATCCATAATATATCGAACAATTCAAAAGTAAAGAGTGTATAAAAAGCAGTGTAAACCAATTAATACGCTGCAGGTTTCAGATACACCCGGTAGTTCGTGATATATATGGCTTCTCCCGAATAAAGACTTAACTTGGCGCAATTACGGTCACAATGCTTTAATTAATTTTCAATGTGAAATCTTAATAATTAAAACATTTCGAATAAAAATTAAAGACTATTACGAAGCATTTAATTAAAGGAAATTAACTAAAGAGCGTTGGATACATTTGCGGTGAAAGCTCAAGACTAATTCGCTCACGCGAGTCCTATTGATTTTCAAAACTTTCGAATTAAGTTATACAACTTTTTAATTACGCATCCAAACCAGATGTATTTCAGCGTAGTGGGTAAAAGTAACTTCGAATTTCCCCGAGGATCCGTAACTCGGAGAAAGTAGCTTCTCTGATACGCCAGCCGGTACAATGCAAAAATACGTCAATTACGTGTTGTGCGCGGTGGAAACCCTGTCACAGCGTATGATTTTATTATGATTGCGTTTCCTATGATTTAAACCTGTTACCACGCAATTGCGCGATTTTAATTGCAGAGAGGGCAGCCGCTACGACTCCCACTCGGCACAGTCGACGCAGGATCGCAGGAAGCTGCTGAAACGTACGAGGAGTCTTGCAGTGATATCGGAGGACGATTCCCGGCAGGATCGAGAAGCGGCGCACTTTCGGCTAGGCGCACATTCAACCTTCGATCTGCCCAGGAGACATCAATTGATACCGAGGGCGAAGCTAATCGATCGGAATTCTCTCAAGGACAGGTGAGCCCTTTTATCAAAGAGAAAGAGACCGCGACTCGATCGCAGACCGCGCTCTTGACCTGATTAGTTTTTAATTAATCGATAGCCTACAACAATCGTGTGGAAAATAAGAAGATAAAAAGTTCGAAAGGCTGTTCTTCCTGCCTAATAGCTGCTTTCAACAAGATTAATATTAGACAGTGCTAAACAATTTAAGGGCTGTTCTTTTTGGAAGTATCTGATATTTTAATGAATAAAAATTCCGGCACATTTCCTAATAATAATTTCAATGAAATAATAACAACAGTTAACCACCAACCCAAAGCCAATTATGGTAGTCGAGTTTGTTCACGCGCGACGAATTTGATATTCTCGCTGTAAACTTGCATTATTCGCTTGCGGCGATTGGCAAACATCGAACACAATCGAAACGCGATCGGTCGTCGACGGTAGACGTTCTTCAACAAAATACTAGAACGACTTAAGAGTTCCACTCAAGGTGATACAAGAACTTCACCAAGAAACTTTACTGAAATGCGACGCCAAGTTGATATCTCCGCGTTGCGGAATCAAATCGAATGGTTGTTCAAACGGGAAAACAACTGACTCTTTTGTTTTTATCATCAATTTATGATCTATTGGAGGCAAACTAATTCGAATGCATAGCCATCGATGGTGAATAAAAAAAATTGCTGTACTCTAAACATATTTTTTTTGCGGTATATCAAAATAATGGAGATTTTATAGGACAACAATTAACTGAGATAGAAATATTTCAAAAATTCTGTGGTTCTATACATTAATGAAGAGTTTTTTTTTATTTTTAACTGATTGTGAGTTAATGTATTGGTTCGAGATCAATTGCTGTGGTAACGAGCAATCTGATTTAAGATCCGATAAGAGTTATTTTTCAACTTCATAAAGAGTAAAAATAAAATTTAAAAAACTCAATATTCTTCCACTTAATAATTTTATCAAGTAATGTTCACCACTCAGTATACAAATCCGATAAGTTCAAATAAGATATTGAAGAGCATTTCTAGCGACTTATACAAATGCTCTTTTCATCCATGATTTACTTATATTTTACAAGCATTTTCAAGTGTTTTACGAATGCAAATTTTATTCCACGAGGGCAATTGGTCAAGAGATTTTCCACTTTGTTCCAGACTCTCCAAGAGTCAGCAGCATCTTTCCGACTCTTACGAGAGATTCAACGAGACAAAATCTTATCATTCGCGATCGACGTGCGGCCTTCACTCGATCCCGTCGGGTCTCGCGTCTCTTCCAGATCCGTTGCCTTACACTCGTAAAAACCGCGCCGATCCGGATAGACTGAATATACTCGACTGGCCGGATCCTCCGAGGCGATACCGCAGCGTGCAAAATTTGGACACCGTAAGTGGATTGGTCGACATCGTCGAAGATAACTGGCCGATTGAAGGCAATCGGAGCATCGATTGCATATATACACAGGTGAAACATATCTCTTGTCAGTAAAAGAAATTATAAAACTGTTAGAATCGACTTCATGCGGGAGAAAAATATCTCTTTCGAAATTTCAAGAGTTATCGAGAAGATTAATAAATTACTCAATCAATCAAAACTGTGGCTTATTATTGTTGTTATTCATATCGAAAATAACAAATTGTGACGTTTAATTAAATTATATTGTAATAAGTTGCAGTACATAACGTAATTTACGATACGATAATGATGATGTATAACATATTATAATACAAGCTGCTTGATGATAAAATTTCTAATTATTAATTTGATTAAAGTTCACTCGATACAGCGATGTATCGTCTTTGAGATCAGCCGTGCCGGGACTCCTCAATATAGTAGCGAGATTAAGAAGTTTGTTACCAAACATTACATTAATTAAAATGATAGAGATCATTAAGTCGGTCACGAGTTCCCTAGTACCGGCATTATCTTTAACAGTTGCTTAATTAAATTTTAATTGGGCAACGGGAAGATTGATTATCTACAAATTTAATAGTAAAATAATGTCTCTTCGTGAGTTCCGTAAAACCAACTGAAATAAAGAATTACATTACTTGTGAACTCTTACTTTGTTAAGTTTAACAAAAATTACTTTTACAAACCGAGAGGACGGTAAATTGAATTAAGAGTTGACTCTTTCAAATGTCACTGTGTTTATCATAAAAATATTTTCTTATAATAAAAGGCTCATCTTACAAGAAAATTAGTTGCTCTGAAAATTGGTTAGGATGACAAAAACTTTTTATAGAAGAGAATATATAAAAAGCACGCGTTCACGGAATGTTTTTTTTAAATTTACCTTGCAAATCATATTAATTGTGGGACAATATATTATAGTTATTTAGGCAAATTTTACTGTGCACTACAATAAGTTTTACTGTAAAATCTTATTGTAGTGCACAGTAAAATTTGCCTAAATACTATATTGTTCCACAATTAACATGATTTGCAGGGTAAATTAAAAAAAAATTCTCTCCGTGTTGAGATGTGCTTTCCCGTTCAGGTGAAGCGCAAGCGTAAGGAGCACAGGAGTTTAGACAGCATCCTCTTCGAAGACGACGGGGAATTGGAATACTTCGACGTGCTGAATTTGCTGCCTCTCTCCAACATACGGCTGGAATACAACGAGACCGCCTCGTCGAGGGACGGTAATTTCGCGCCTAAGAAGGTACACGGTTTGCGAGATTTAAGAGTGCTCGAGTACAACGAGCCGAGCGGCGTTGGCAGCGCGAGCGAAGTTTCGCCGACGGGCAGCAACGCCACGGACGAGGAGAAATGTAAGGAGCACACAGTGAACGAGGATAATCCCGCCCGAGCCGACGGCGAAGCCGAGAAAGAGGTCCGCCCGAACATCCTCGATTCATCCGAGGGGACGGATTCAAACCGGCGAAAGCATCGGGAGACCGACGGGAGTTTCGGGGCAGATTCGGAGATTAGCTCAGCGAACAAGTTCGTGGATCAGCACGCTCCCTCCTCCTCCTCCTCCTCATCCAAGACCGATCATAAGGGAGCTGAGGTTGAAAATTTTGTGATCTCCCGCGAAGAGGAGGATCACAAGATCGAGGGGGTGCAGGATTACAAGTCGGTCTGGATCTCGGACGAGAATCGAAACGAGATGTCACGGAGGCCGCAGATTCTCAAAGTCGTCGACAATGACGTCACCAGGAGACGCCATCGGCGCTCCGTCGTGGAGATCGACGCCATCGTCGAGGACGTGCCAAAAGATAAGAGATCGCAGGAGATTACGAAGGACGTGAACGAGCGTATCGATGCCTCTGTAATTAAATCGATTAATAACATGAACGAGGAGGACGAAGGCCACGGAAGGAAAGCGAAAGTTAGTAGATATGATGGAATTATATTCATATTTATATTCATTTAGATATGATGGAATTGTATTTATATTCATACTGATAAGAAAAAAACGTTATTTACTCTCAATAAATTAAATTATTCTGTTATTGTTCGTGACATTAAAATTTTCCAACGATTTTGTGTCTCGAGACCGTAAGAACGTGACGTCGAAGAAATACAACGAAAGCAATTTCCCTAAAGCATATCAAACGCAATCTTCTTTAGAAAAGTGCAAGTAGAGATTTGAAATTCCCCGGATGCACGTCGCACATGGAATATTGAACAGTTTCTGCGATATCGCGTTATGACTTTCAACATCTACATCTTCGTAATGGTTTTCCATTCAATTAGATACTCGTTTACGTTAAGTAATTTGTAATGTAAGTAATTGTAATTTGCCAATTTATAGCGTTGCACTTTAATTTCACGACCTCATCTTCTCCTTCAAATTTTCCGTTATAAATAAAAACTGACATCTCAATGTTGGAAGTGGAGCGAAAGCGCATTAAATCAATTGACAAATTAATTTTGCAGGAAGCTACGGCGCCGGAAAATGCGGAAAATGGGGCGACGGTGGAGGACGCGAGAAACTTCTTCGAGCGGAAAAGTACCGAGAAGGAGGCAGCGCGAAATAAGCAGAACGAGGGCAGATTTGAGAGGATCGTAAAGGAAACATCAAACATTCTCGGCAAGGCGTGCAGCGTCGTAAAGGGCAGTCTCGGCTTCGAGGCGAGATCGGAGAGCTCCGATCTCGGCCTCGGTTCCGAATCCGGTAGCGATTCCCGCAGAAGATCGGTGGACGACGGTATCGAGGACGATCGGCCGTCGAGAAGCGCGGAGAGCTCCGGTAATTCCGCCAAGTTGAGGACAGGCGACAGTAAAAAGTCGCACACTAATCTCACCAGGTCCATGAGCTGCATGGACTCGATCGAGTGTCAGGACGACGGTCCGGAGTTCGATCACGTGCGCTACAAGATCGTCAAGTCGCATATGTTCAGCAAGAACATGTTCAGCACCGCTCGAGGCGACGTCACGTACGAGGGGCTGATGCAATATCTGCGCGAATACTCGTTTCAGGAATTGCTCATGGATAATAACGTTGTTATCATTGAACCGGTGCGCGCCGAGCCGGTGGAGCGGAAGTCGTCGCCGTTGGCCCGAGCGGAGCCCACATGCAAGATCGCCGGCGCGATCCAGAAGAAGATGGAGAGCCGCGAGAGAAACGGGGAACGAGCCGAGAGCGGTGGCGCCAAAAGCACTAAAAGCTCCAGGCAGTCGTCCATCAGAAAGCACTTCTTCTATCAACCGATACGGGTGAACCGTGAGCTGATTGACGAGGAGTTACCGGATCCGGACACCGTCAGAAACGTGAGACGCATGTTCGAGAACACTCTCGAGAAAAAGAAAAGCACGACCGACAGCGAGTTCTCCAGGGACGACAAGACCAGGAGGAGCGTCAGTATGAAGGATCTGACTAGCCTCGACGACAGTCGGTACGACGAAATGTCGGACAAGACACGCGAAGAATCCAGGTAGCGTAATATTGAATGAATGTCGACGACGGAAACTTTTATATTATTCACGATGCGGATGCGAGTGTCTTGACAATAAGCATAGAACCGTACAGACCAACTGCTTTTCGTACATATGTTAGTTCAAGCGGAAGAATTAAATACAAGGTGACGGTACGCTAGATAAATCAGCCCGAGATAATGTTAAGTTTAATGGGATGGCAAATGGTGGTGAAGTTTACGTTGAAACGTCTGCGTGCTAAATAGTCTGATGTAATTCGATTATTCGCGACTAAGATAATAGCGTTTCCTGAACCGAAATTCCATTAAAGTTACAGGCGAGAGTTCCTAACCGAGAAAAAGTAAGTCGTTGAAATTAAAAAATTAAGGTACCAACTAACATAACTAAACATAATTTTAAAAATCTCCATTCATCCTCGATCGATTCGTGAACAGCTGCCATAACCAATTATTATGTTCAGATCCAGATGTTCCAGCAGAGCGAAAGATCTCACGCGACTCTTCGAGACCAAGTCCGCGTCATCGACCGTTTCCGTAGCCAAGGAGGAATTCGGAAGTCCGCGATGCGAGTCGAAAACGAGAATTCTCGCGCAAAGTTTCGAAGCTAGGAGCGGAAACACGTCGCCGAGTGGCTCTAATTGTTCTAAGAGCAAGGTCGGCCGTTACCACCACCACCATCATCACCAGCATCATCATCATCATCAAAACTGGGATTCCGGCAGCGTCAGTTCCGGCGTGTCCAGCGATTATCCCGACACCGATCCCGGGAGCGGTGCTCACTGCACGTCGTCCGACGACGAGGACGTGAATTGCAACGATGACGATGCAGACGCGAGCGGTCCGGGGCATTACGTGTCCCAGGACGTTCTGCGTAAGATCCGCGACTGCGGCACCTCTGTAACGTACTACGGCGGAAAGGTGGTCAATATGCACAATGGGCCGTTAGTCTCGCCGTTGATCGGCAACGGCTTCAAGCGAATCGACAAATCGAACGATTACGTGAAGTTCAAGTTGGTGAAGAGCAACTCCTGCGACAGCAGGCTGGAGCTGACCGGCAGACTCGTCGAGGGACAGTCGTCACACTTTTCTGCACGTCGCAATCGCGACAGATGCGCCGATCTCAGGCAGTGCACCATCGCGGAGACACCCAGCATCGAGATCACAACGATCGACAGCAGGCAAAAGGACGAGGCTGCGCAGAGGAACGGGGGTGTCGGGCAAGTCGAGCAGGTGAAACGGGAACCGCCGGTGGTGATTGGTTTGGAGCCGAAGAAAGAAGAATCCAAGGAATCGAGGAAGATCTTCAAAGCTGACTTTAAGCTGGGCGATCTGGACGACTCGAGATCCAATTATCCGAGCAAATTCATGCCGAGCGCATTGACGAGGTGGGAGGTGAATTCGAGCTGGAAGGTCGGCAATGATTTCGGTAAAATGGAGTTCGAGGAGTTCGAGGTGCTCGAGGATAGTCTCAATGGGATCGATGAGCAAAACCAATGCGCGCAGGCATCCTAAACGGGGAATCTATTGTATATTTATTTTTCTCTGATGCAATTGGAACTCGCGCGCGCGAACAAAAATAAGACATACAACGTGATTATTATTTTTAATAAAGTTGCGTAAAGATATTTCTTGGCGTTACTGAAAATAATTTTTCTTTGTAAAAAGAAAAATGATATTCAGTTTGCGGAACGATAAATTTAAATTGCAATCGAATAGACGTTGCTAGAAATAGAACAAAGAATTTTTTAAGGATATTTCTAACGAATGTTTCTGGCAGCAAGTAATGAAAATCTCGCGAGAGTACGTTGATAGTCAAAATATTTATTTGGGTACGTAAGTACTATCGATCAAATAGTTTATTATTTCAGGTGGATAAGTCCACACGAGTCATATTAGAGCAGGTGATAAATATTGAGATACGTATTAAGATATAATACATTATTATATATTAAAGATTCAATATATTATTGCATATAATGCACAAAGCACACACGAAATCGACTCGTAATTTGAGTATATTAAATGTATAATAAATAATTATATGTAATAATCTTATTTATTAATGTGTTTACTAATATTTTAATATTTAATTCCTCTCTCCAAAAGATCGTTATAATTATTAGATTGTTGTCTTCTTATTGTTGAAATTAAATTCAGATCTTCTGATTTTACTCTTGTGATGTAAGTTAGAGCAAAAAAAGAGCTTTGTAATTATTCCAAACGTATAATCTGCAATCTGTATTCAAACTCTCATGCTGAGCCAAAAACAGGAAATTCGAGTCACAAAATCTAGCTCTAATGTCATATTTTGCAACGCTCGATTTAAATGATATATTGAAAGCCCAGACGACGCGATGTTATTTTCGACATTACATATTCTTGGAACAGTGATGTTGATGTTATCGATTCTTCTGAAGATTTAACTACCGTGAACTTCAAAGCATCTTGGCAAGTCAGGATTATGTAGTCTGTCTTAATGCGGATTCACAGTAACTCGCATTAAATAACATTACTGCAATTGCAAGTGTAAAACTAGTGATACAATACCAGAATAGTGTTTCGTTATTACTATGAAGAAAAAAAACATTGTTAACGAAAAGTTCCCAAATATATCGGCAAAATGTAAAAGATCCTAATCTATATGTAAACGAATATAATGTTTGTCATACGCGTTAAATATCTTTTACAGCGGCGTGATTATTTAAGCGCAATAACGTTCCAGTTTGCTCGCTAGGAGCGGCGCAATTATCGATTTATTTTGGAGTGTATATAGCACAGTCGTAAATTGCGAGGAGCGTAAAAGCTTTCGGTGTGAATCCAGCGTCAAATGTTACACTGGTTGCAGACCGAGCAGTGCTGTAAAATGTACACTGCGAGCTTTATATGTACAGGACATGACGGACACTGCGTAAAGTGATCTTCGTATAGATGCTCTTGTTGGACTTTGAGTAAAGAGTAGTATTATATACGGCAACTTTTCCACGTCCGTGCGAAAGAGCTCGCGTTCAGAGCTCGCTTTCTATTAGTGTCCTTTATTCGTGAAATTGAAAAACTCCACTTCTTCGGTTGCTTCGCGCAGTCGAACTTTAATTGCGTTATACGTGTTTCAGTCCCTTTAACTTTTCGCACGAGAATTAGACGTTGATTTAATGTTTTAGTTATTATGTATGTAATATGATAAGAACTATTTTGCATATTTCGTATCGTATATACCTATATAATTAATGCACCAGCATAACTTGAAAATGTGCCAATGATACCGGGAGCACGAATATTCTCGCATGCAATACACTTGCAAGCACATTAAGATTGTACGCTGCGTAACTAATTTACAAAGTTCTGATATCAAAAATTTTAAAAATTCTGTCAAATATATCGAACAACTAAAGCAGGTAAAGTAATTTTGATTTTTTATTTAATTCTCAAAGGATGTATCCTTCAGATTTATTGCACATTAGGAGAGATCCTGCGAGCTTTGATATGCTTCTGGATTATGTTAAATCCATCACGGAATCAAGTCAAGAAAAGTAATTTTTCGCAATCGCTATTGTGCCCTGTTGAGCAATACAATACGTTTGTTTGCTTGATTCTAATAGAGGGGTAAGCAGGTAACTCACCGATATTCTCACCGGTCTCCACCTTTTCCGCTGACGTAATCCTCGCAGTCTTCTTCGCTTCTTTCTCCATGGCTTTAGGCTCTTTGAGTTGCTTCATCAGAAGTGGATTTAACTTTGGCGAATAGGAACTGGCCGACAGGGAGACGCTCCGTTGAGAGATGTACCACCACCGCCTGCACCATGTTTCCTGAAACGCGTAGAAGCAATTTCCGTTGTTGCTCATGCGATATCTCCGCGCGTGTAAACAAGTATGTACTTATAATGAGTATGTAAACGAAATTTGATCGACATGTATTGTCAGAGTTCAACAAAGACGTGTAACATGCACGGATTTTCAATTAAGCGTACAAGCATCGAGATTCACACCGTCGGTTCATGGTCTCTTCACGGGTCTCTCATCTATAGTTTATCGATTATCCGATAAATAATAATAATAATTTACAAATACAAAGTGCTTCATTAACAAGGCAGTTTGCTTTAATCTGCTTAAAATGTTAAATATCTTTAGCAGCTAGAATGAACGCATAACGTAATCGCAAGATATATAGGTATTGAATTTATTTCATTTTAATGGCGATATATTATTACTGAAAGGCAACATTACTGCGTGACGTATGTACATAAAATTTATACTATATTGAAAACATCACTGCTTTTTGCAGTTTTTCGTTAGAGTATTTTCCGGAAAATTTTTCTGAGAAATATTTTGTGTTCAGCTCGTGCATTATTATGGTTATATATCGTTTACCTTTCACGCATAGATACTCGAATGCATGTTAGCCAAGAAATCGCTGCTTGGAAAACACGCATAATATTCACTTCAGAGCGTGGAAATGCAATATTGGATGATGGAAATCCTGTGCAAACTACAGCATAGTTGATGCAACTGCGGTTTAACATAAAAATGTAATCACGGTACCGCGGAGATTACGGTTTTACGCCATCCTACCGTGACTATAATAATTCACAACAATAATTATTCGCACACATCCGTAAATATTATCTTTCTATTTCATAAATCGAGAATTATTAATTTGACCATATGATATGAATAAGTAGTCATGGCATATTTCCGATTATCCGATTAAACCAAATCGGATGAAACGGAGTATATATATGAATTTAAATTCTCAGAAGAGCGTATCTCAATGGCACTACATCGATTTTCCAAGGAGATTATTTTTAGATAAAAGCGGATGTAGTCAATTGAGAGAGACAAAGACAGACAGACAGACAGACAGATAGATAGATAGATAGACAGAAAGAAAGAAAGAAAGAGAGGGAAAGAAGTAATATATAAAAATACATGTTACAGAACGCAAAGCGTGTTTTTCTTCTGAACTTTTTTAAGGAGCAAAAAAAAACTGCCTTTAGAATTTATCATTAATTCCGTAAAATTTTACGAGAAAAGATCTAAGAGATAATAATAATATATATTTTATAAAGTAACAAAAATTTTAAATAATTATAAAAATTGGAAAAACTTGATATAAAATAAATTATAAAAATGATATATTACAATAAAACATATTTCATACAAACAAAAAATGTACTTAATTACAACACAGTTATTTTATATTCGTCAGTTTATAATCCCAATCATTAATTGCATTAATTATCGCTGTCATTTTTCAATTACTAATTTTTAATTATCTCTCGCAAAAAAATTAAGTTCTTAGAAACTACATTGCTTTTCAATCAGCCGTAAATTGAAGGAAGATATCATTTCGGTAGATAGTATTTTTCTTCACCGCGTTATTTTTATCTGTAATCTAGCAATTTTTTCACGAACTGATATGTACCACAACATCAACATATGTATAACATATAAATAAAATTATTTACTAGTTGGATATATAAGCAATGTTCTGCGGACACGCCTCGCCGAACGATACCGTTTCTGTTTCGCACGAATCGTGAGCGAACTGCAGATGTACAACTCTACGTGCGTCGAATTAAAGGTGTCGAGATGCGGACAAGTTCCTTCATAAAAAAATTTACCAAGGAAAAACGTCTAAGAAGTGGACGCGAAAGTTCTGAAAATCATGTCTATCGCTACGTCTCTCTTTCTCCTTCTTCGAAAGCGTTCAACCCTCTTCATATCCGCTTCTCGTTTGTCCCTGCTCCGGTGCCCTAGTTTCTTCCGTATCTCTCCTCTTACTTCCGATGCGTTTACCCCGGCGTAGCCCCAGCGAAGCGTCACCATCGATTCCACTGCGGCATCCGCGGGAATTGCATTTGCACCTCAGTAAGAAGACTGACTTTGAAATTTCCAAGCAAGCTGCGCGCGATTATCCGTGAAATGCAGATGCGCCTGGCGCGTCGTTCTATATTGACGATATTTATCACTGTGTAGCGTCCATCGTACATCTCAATTACCGACATTACTTATGTATAATCGCGAATGGTATAAATTTATAAACAGAACATCTTTAAATAGAATAGAATACATGCAGAATGTCTATAGCGCGAATTAAAAATTCGTTCAATACGCTCTCGTATACTACCATTAAAGTTAATGTAAATCGCACCGAGAGAGATACGCTATCATTGATTATCTAACAAGTGCTAAAGTATTTTTCCGATAGTTCCCACAGAGAGAGAGACAGAAATAGAGAGAATGTTATTGTGGCAAGGTTTTAGAATAATTGCTCTATAAGAAAAAAAAAACAAGAGTTCTCGTAATTGAGAATGAATAAAACAGCTTAACAGAAGCTAGAAGTAGAAAAGTGCCCGACTGTTTATTGTGGAATCTGCAATTAAAATATCACATTTCTTGATTTACAAAGACATTTAGTCCGTTTTTCAAAACAGAAAAACTAAATTTTCCAAGGAATAACGTTACATGCGTGTTGACTTTCCATCAATTTCAAAAGACCGCGTAGCGATATGCCCAATTTTTAAAAATTTGCCTGAGTGTGTCTATAATTTTTACATGAAAAATGTGAAATGTGATAACTTGACGCAGGTGAAGCATGTGTTCTTAATTTAAGTGGTACTTCTAATTATAGTGTCTGTGATTTACGAGCACTCGACATGCGCATACCGTATGTCTATACTACTACTTGATCCTTGCAGTTTCGGGTCACTAGCCAGAAATCTCAAATCTGATAATTTCTGTGAAATAAGCTATTGTCAAGATTTTATCAATAGTTTAAAGTTAAAAATATACACAATAAGTTTTAAAAAAATACTAATACTACATTACATTATACATATATTTTTTAATGTATAACAAATATATCAACTTTTTAAGTAAAAAATTAGATTAAATTTAGTCTTTAAATATTTGTTCGAAATAAACAATTAGTATATTATAAACGGAAAAATAAAAATAAAAATAATTCATAAGATAATTATAAAGATTTTATATTTATATATATATATATATATATATAAATAATGTATTGAGGATTTTCCACTTTTCTGGATCATAAAATATTTTACTAAACAGAATGACATATGTGCATTTATCGCGTTCAAGAAATTTCAGTTCAGTGCTCGGTCAAGTTGGCGGAAACTTCTTAATTGGCTACCTGAGAACCTGTAAATGTTGAATTTCGCATGTGCGGTTAACGCGCGGTTTTCCTGTAACGGAACGTTTAATTCTGCGAGAAAGATATATATCCGGAAATCGTGTCGGAATTCAATATCACTACGATTCATACATATTCAACCGCCGCAACTTTCCTTGTCTCATGCATTGTTTAATAATCAGAGATCAAGAATCTATTTTTACAAGGATATTAATTTACATTTGCGCGAACTTTCGAATTTTCATCCGTGGCCATATTGTACACTGCCATATCGAATAACAAAGTTACAAAATTACGATAGCAAAAGCTGAAATGAAATGCGCATTTACGCAAGCATTTCATAGTTTTTAATTAACGCATTGAGACTACATAATTTCATCCTCTACTTAATCTTCCATCGACTCTCGTGTTATATGTCATTATAACTTCGTTTTAAACCGGGTCACCGTTTTTTAACACGCGACGTTAAAGGATGTAAAACCGTGTATTTTCAATTGCCCTTGGCGAAAGGAGCGGCAGCGTAATGTTGAAACTGTTGTAAAAAAAAAGAACGATATATTTACGCAAAAAATAATGCGCTTTTCTTTCATCCGTGTGTCCGCAAATTGCATGTTACGGAAGAAAAAATAAGGAAGTATAATATAATAAAGTAGAAAATCTCAGAAAAATACTTTCCTGCAACACGGTCGGCAGTATAAACGTAGAGAAATCGATTACAAAAGTACTATCTCTTCTTCTTCAAGATAAGCTATTCTACGACGCAAAAGAAAATATAAAATATTCTTTATATTATCAGATTCTTTATAGTATCAGATTCATAGTAATAATTTGTTAAATAATTGCAATGTAATTAAATGAAAGTTATTAACTTGACAATATTTTGTAATTAATGTAATAAATATCTTCCGCTTGATGGTAGGCGTGATGTGATTTCGTTGTGTCCGTATAGGGCGCATAGCCGATACGCCCTTTCGCTCAACATCGCCCCCCGACCACCATTACACAGGCTGAAAACATTTTCTGCGCCGTGTGTCGAGCGGAGTTGGACGCTGGGCAGGATCGATGGCGTGATGTAGTAATGGTAAAGCCAAGTGCACGGTTTCAGACCGGAGCCCCCTCCGTATTAATCATATCCATCCAACTTGCGGCCTTTCCGCTTGCCGATGTCTGTGCGAAAGCACACATCGTAACACACACGATATGTGCCTATATCGCGTCGATTAAATAAATTCTCCCCCTCGATTTGCTCTACACGGCGCATTTGCGTCGTGCGGCAAAAACACGCGGGTGATTCTGTTACGTTCGCAAATTTCGAATTTCGCGAAACAAAAGATCGCCCCGCCCCGCCCCGCGGTGTCAGATGCACGTGTGAATGTTGCGACAGATATGCATTTTTCATTTTTCCACACGTATCGATGTTCCAACGCTATTTACGCTAGCTTTCGCCGCACGCGCGCGCTTGTGTTTGATGTTTTCCGATGGAAAAAAACAAGAGGGAGAAAGGAAGGGGAGAGAGAGAGATGGAAAGAGAGAGAAAGAGCAAGCAAGGGGCAATCTTTTGACTAAACATGATGACAAGGTAGCTTTCACCATATTGCGTTCGAGTCTTAAAGGGATATCGACAAAGCCGTTGCAGGGCTGAAATTGACGT